CAAAAAACCTAGATGAAAGCAGGAAGCTAAAAACTCTTAGTGATGGAAAAAATGAAGTATAATTATAAAAAGCAAAACAAATAGACAAAAACTCAGATGGGGTGACTACTAGTTCAAGCATAACTTATTTGAGAGAAAAAAACAGTTTCTTCACCCTTGCCAGAAATCAATCCGCTGGTTACCCAAATCCTGGAGCCTCCGCTAATCTGAGATGTTAATTGGGAAAGGAAAGAAGCAGGTTAGGTTTCAAAACAAATGGTATAACAAGAAAGATATATAAACAATAATGAGAAAAATATAAAATAATGAAGAACTACTGAGAAAAAGTAAACATAGGGTCTTAATTTTTACAAAGTAGATGTGAGTAAAGAAATACATTTTATACTTGTGTTTTATACATTTTGTTGTTTTAGAAGTTATTTACATACTTATGTGAAGTTATTAATATTTAAAAGTAGTCAAAAGACAGGCAAAAAATGTGAAGGGATTGAGAAGTACATGTTGGTAGTTACAAAATAGTCAGGGAATATAGTCCATAATAGTATAATAACCATGTACGGTGCGAGGTGGCTACCAGGAATACCAGGGGAACATGCCGTGAAGAATATGATTATCTGACCACGATGCTGTACACCTGAGACTATATAAAGTAATGTTGAATGTATGCTATAATTAAAAAATTAAAATAAGTAAAATAACAAATAAAATAGTCAAAAATTAGTTATAGTAAATTTAGCACTATTGTTTAAATCATTTAAAAGATTTTGATTAAGGTTTTAATCAATGTTTAACTGCTTAGAAAATTATTTGTCCTAGTTTGGTAATTAGATAGAAGTTGAATATGTTGGGCATTAAATAAAATAAAAATTATGTGTGCTTCTTTCAAAGTACAAAAGAAATCCTCCTAGATATTAACTAATTTAATCACTGAGTTAATAAAATCATTAATTTAATTCAGTAATTTAATTCCAACATTAAGGAATGAGTACTGCATGCAGCAAAGTAGGGTTCAATTTCATCTGTCACTAGCAGGTGTTCACAGTGAGACCTTAGATCAGGGCGGAGCTCGGGGTCAGGGTCACAGGCAGTGACACTGCCCCAGCTCCCAGTTTCTCCCATTGCTGGTCAGGGTTGGTGATTTTTATAAAAATTATTTCAAGCTCTCCATGAAGATATACAACAATGAGGGGAAGCATGCAACCCTATCATATGTTAGTTCATTTTTTGGACATGAACCGTGGTTCTTATGTGCCTATAGGTTGCCCCGAGGTGAGAGGCAAAGAGGCAGAGGCTAGGCCTTGGCCAGGGCCCTGCCACCGCTCCCCACCCAGGCATGCCACCCCCTGCAGGACTGCGATATGTGAGTCAGGATTTCAAGGCATATTCTTGAAGCTGTCCTGTATTCTGCAGGAGCAGCTTTTCAATTCAAATCTAAATTTACTGCTTGATCTGTCATCCTGACAAACACAACATCGTTACTTTTCTGCCCTGGATTGCAAAGATTTCCAGCAGCTTGAATTGAATAACAAGGAAATTCTTCCTGTTTCTTCACTATTTCAATTACCTTATTTTCATGGGAAAATCTTTAACTTCTCTTTCTTGAGCCATCTAAAGAGAAGGCAGGCAAATGACTTTCTTGTTCCTAATCACCACAGCCTCATTCCCAAAGTTCGTCCCTCAGCACTACTCTCAGGGTGTTAAATGTTATTTTACAATAAAAGGGCTGTGAGGTCAAATAATTTTGGAGACTGCCAGACTAAACCCAATTTAAAAAATTTTCTTTACTATAAGGGTTTATTTGGCCAAAATACCATTTCCAGTGTAGCTCTTCGTAAGCCAAGTGTTCTGCAGACCATATTTTGGGAATTGTGGCTACTTCTGGTGTCCTTCCCATTTCCAGTGCCTGGAATTCTGCTGGAGGGTCAAGAGAGGATCAATAAACAAATTTGTTTTTGTCAGTTAAAAATAAATAAGACCCATCATTTGCATGATAGTGAAACATAGTCAAAGCCAATCAAAACATAGGGAAACGACCTCCTCTCCTCTCTACCAAAACAAACAAACAAATGAAAATGACAATAAAAGCATGGGCTAAGGCAGGAAAGAAGCCTGGCTTCACAAGTATTTGAGGCTTAAGAGTAATATGCAGACCCTTCGGGATTCTGGGCTCCTCACGGTGAGCTAATCATGCCTCGAATGATTATGCTGGTGGTGAAACGAGATTATGCAATGAAGAATGTCTACTACAATGCCTATTGCAAGGGAGCTGTCACCAAAAAAGTAGATGTTCTTATGATTTTAATCCAATCATAATTCAAAAAGTTATTTTTGATCTAATCAATGTCCTTGAATAAAAGCATATTTTCTCAGATTTTTACACTACAGAGCTCGGTCAGTGTTGTAAACTAATTTATTGGAATTAAACTAATACTGTTGCTAAATTCCCCAAGATGTCTAGGTGAATCCCAATTTTAGATGTTCACTGTATTTTGATGAAAGAAAAACACTTGGGAAAATCAGGATGTGTTCTGGAGAGAATGAATGTCTACACAAAGGGCCTCAGAAGTAACAGACTTTTGGGGAATCTGCTCCAGGGCAGGTGTGGGCCCACTGGCTCAGTGCCTCACACCACCGAGTTGATCCCTCTCTCAGGGCTGTGCTCTGTGTATGAGGGCTCCGAGACTGAAGCAGAAAACTGGAATGACAGTGTGTTTACAGTGAAAATTGTAACTTCCAAGTGAACTACATTACCAGGTTCTCATGCTTCTTGGCTGAGGTAGTCTTCTTCTGGAGGCAAGCATGATAGGAGACTCAATCATAGTCTGTAGTTGGCTTGAGAAACAGGCCATCAAAAAAGGGAGGTGGCTTATAATGACCACTGGTGATGCCTACCATGTGCCAGATGCTTTGCAAATAGTAGCTCACTTAATTAGTCTCACAACCATCCTGCATAATAGGTAGCTTTTGAGCCCCATTTTACAGAGGAAGAAACTGAGAAGTAAAGTAAATTACCAAAAGTGACATGGCTAGTAAGGAGTGGAGCCAGGGTTTGAATTCAGTTGTTTAGGTCCAAAGCCGTGGAATGGTCCTTTTTTATTTTTAAGATATTATTTATTTATTTTTAGAAAGAGGGGAAGGGAGAAAGAGAGGGAGAGAAACATCTATGTATGGTTGCTTCTTGCATACCTCCAACTGGAGACCCAGCCCACAACCCAGGCATGTGCCCTGATTAGGAATAGAACTGGTGACCCTTTGGTTTGCAGGCTGGCACTCTATCCACTGAGCCACACCAGCCAAGGCTGGAGTGGTTCTTGACAGCTGTCTCTCTCACACTCCACACCCAATCTTTCAAGAAGCTTTATTTGTTCTACCTTCAAAATGTATGGAAAATACAACTTCTTACCACTTTCATTACTACTACCCCAGACCCTGCCACTGTCATCTTACACTTGAATTGTTCCATTTGTCCTCACAACGGTCCACTGTGATTACCCTTTGACCTTATCTCTTTTTACTTTCCCTGTCTTCATTATCTTATGTCATCTTGGCTTCCTTGAAATTCTTCAAATGTGCCAGGAATGTTCCATCTTTGGGCAGTTGCTCTAGCTGCTCCCTCTGCATGGAATAATCTCTGCTGGGTATGCACTTGTAAATTCCCTCACCACCTCAGATCATTGCTCGAATATCACTTCTCAACAAGGATTCCTTGATCAGTCAAGTTAAAACCACATTCAACCTTTCCTCCAGAGCCCTCCCAATTCCTTCTCTCTTGTGTTTTGTGTTTTTCTTTTTATAACACTTATTTAGTTTCTAACATAAATAAGATTTACTTATTTATTTAATACTTATTCTCTACCTGTGACATTGGGCAGTGATCTTGGTGCATTTAGTTCACAGACACATCCTAAGTATCTAAAAAAATAGTGGGCACACAGTAGGTGCTAAGTAAATATTTGTATAATGAATGACTTACCTCATGGTGAAGCCCATCATCCTTGGACTGCACGATTTTTACTTTAATAGTGGAGAATCCAGTAAGTCTGATCATCTGTTCAAGGACATCCCTTACCCACAGACTTCTTAGGATAAATAATGCTGAATTTTTCCTTTCTAATTTTACTTGCATATCTGATTACTTCCCTTATGACACATTCTTCCTTTAAACAGAGAAGAATTTTTTAATATGTTATAGCCAATCCTGTTATATTCAGAGCTACTACCTTTAAGGTGATTTTGTATATCTCTTTTGTATATCTGCTGAGAGTTTTCTTAGGTCCCAGTTTTTGAGAAGGGGACACATTTCATGGCACCCTATAAATAGTACCAAAATCTTAGTGCCCATAAACCATCAAAACGCACCAAATTTCCAATTTCGTATTAAACAAAAAAAAAAAACAGTTTCCTGATACCTAGAAAGAGGATTAAATTTTTTTGTCAAAGCTTTGTCCAGGTTTCAGTGAGGTAAATATAGTTATTATGCATATCAATGGCAGCTTTGGTTCCAGGTGCATTTCTTTTCTTTGCACATTTTGAGCAAATGAGTAAACCACTGGAGCTCAGAGTCTCTAAGCTGCAGGAAGGTGATTGTCCACCCAGTCGGCAGAGGCTCATCGAGCAAACAGGCAAGGACAAGGGAGAAGGAGGGACTCTTCCCCTCACGTTAGCAGAACTAAAAACCCCACAGTTTACTCTGGGAAACTGCAGGGGAAGGAGCCATCAGAGCATTAACTATCTCAACATAACTACCAGAAATTATCCTTCCATATGTTTTTACTTTTCTTGCAGTCTGCTATGAAGATCCAAGAGGCAAATGTCATGGGAGGCTATTCGGAAGTAGTGAAATGAGTAGGCAATTGCAGTAGATACCTGCTACTTCTTTCCATCCTGCCGTATATCCTTTCTTTTGGAGGAGAGAACCAGGATGTCAACCTGTTGTCCTTCTCCCATGTGGGTCAGACAAATGACATGAGCTGGCTAATCAAAGTATTCTCTCCTCCTAGGCAGAGAGATCGGTCCAGCTGGGCTATGTAACTCAAGTGAAGATCATCCATCAGGTGGACAGATACAGACATGGAGGAATGAGGGATGTGACCTTTTCTCTGGAACACTACTTCTCGGGAGGATATAAGGCTACAGATGTAAGTGGCCATCTTCTGTGAGGCATGGAAGAGGCCGACCTAAGACTTAGGTCATTACTGAGGAAGCAAAACTAAGGGGAGAAGAGAAAAAAAAATGATATCATTTGAACTTTTAGATCTGGTTGCGGCCAAAAAGCTAGTCTCTTTCCTTAGACATTCTAATTACATAAGCCAGATCATTTTTTTTCTCTCTTTTTAAGCTGGTTTGATTTAAGTTTTATTTCACTTGAAACCAAAAGAGTCCTGACTAATAAAATGATGTTTCACAATTAGAATCACCTCAGTATTCTGCATCTTACTGAATTACAACTAGAACTCATATATAAAATAACAACTTGATCCTCTGGAATAACAAAAAAAAATCAATTCTGTTTAGGTTTATTTTTTTTTCCTTCCCTATTTCCTGTCCTTTCTTCCTTTCCTCTCACCCTATCTTTATTTCAAAAGGTTTTAAACTGGCTGTATCGACTACATAAAAAAAAAAATGGACATTATGAAAAGATATTGTCAATGGTTATAACAAAAATTTTCTGATTATTCTTCAGTTATCAAGAAAATGAAAGAAAACAATATCCATATTTTCCAAATGTTCTGCTACCTTGTTAACAGATTTTACTGACAAATGGAGTCATTCATAAGATCACTTTTCCCTATTTTGCCTCTTACTATTTGTGTTGCTGGATCAAATTATTTAACCTTTCTGAGAGTAAGCTTTCTTGTCTATAAATGAAAATTGTGAGGCCTAACTGGAAAGCTTCTGAAGAGGTATAGTGTAGCGAGACAATGGGTATCAACTGCCTGGTCCAGAGTAGAAGCTCAATAAATGGTAGCTATTTTTATATCATCACTATCACATTACTTCTGTTCACTATTTTTAGAATCAGGAAGGAGAATACTGTTAAAAGGTGTCCTTATTCAGCCTTTAAGAATAGCTAAGGAAAATAGGACATTGCTAAGTAAGCAAGAAAATGTATGTCTCTGTTTCATGCCTACATTAGCAATAATGTGAAATAGTTACAAAATTATGTCTCTTTTAGGAGTAGCCTTTATGTACCAATGATTGACCAATCCTGAACCAATGATTTCCCATTTACTCCTGTTTCAAAAATTCTATTTGAATGACTAAAGCGGCGAGGTGCATCAGCAGAAGTGATAAAGTCCTAAGGGAGAGAATGTTCTTAACTCACATGCAGACTCAGCACACCTTTTCCATCCCGGAGCAAACCAAGCTTTCCTGGGGCAGTGGTGCGTCTGACTGCAGAGACTGCTCCTTGAAGCTAGATTTCTACTGGCTGTAATAATGGCATCTATTTCCGATGCATCATTGCCATTCCAAATATCTGTATATTTATATATACAGATATGTGTGATTTATACATATCTATATATGTATTTTCAATGGCCTAAGACTCTAAGTATGCGAAGTATGCAGCAGGAAGGGTGGGGAGATGCTGATGGAAGATTAAGAAGGAAACAAGGCGTGATTCTCTTTATCAGCTTTTCTTAGGCAAAGCTCTTTTGGGATGTGTTTTTATTTTTCTTCCAGTGACTGATTAAGTGTTTATGCCTGTGGCAATGAGGATCCTTAAAAATAACTGAATATTGTAAAGTACAAAGTTTTTCATAACCATGCAGCATGGTCTTGAATTAATCTTTTATTTTTCCTGTAATAGGTATCAGTACAAAAATAGTGTCTTACATCAGCACAGTGCTCAAGGCTTTACAAAGTGCTTTCATGTGCATTATCTCACTTTGTTCTCCTAACAAAATAGTAATGGAGGTAGAGTTTGCAGGCATCTCCTCTGCTTTAAAGGTGTACAATTTTGAGGCTTCATGTGTTTAAATATTTTGCTAAAGTTCACAAAAATAGTCAGCAACATATCTGGGATAGATTTTTAGGCTTAAGTATGGTGCCTTTTTGGCTATCCCATATTTCAGAGGATTTTGTTGTTGTTTAATGCTCATTATCCATTTTATTTGTTTTAAAGCATTTAACTTGATTATCTTCTTTCTGCTAAGAAAGTCTTATTTCTTGGGTGAATGCAGGAGAACTTTGTATTCATTCAAGCGAAGGAGAGAATCAATTTTCTCTCCTACCAGAGCTGGCTCCAAAAGAAAGTGATTTGCCTTATCATCTTTTAATAAGCAGAGAGTGGCTATTAGGAAAACACAATAGCTGGCTGATAGTATGTGCAACTCCACTCCCTTGCCAACTAAAATCCTCATTTAAGTTACACGGAATGGGGGCCAGAGACTATGCGGGAAATCTAGCATATTCTTGGAGCATGTGTTTTAGAGCAGCTGGGAAGCAGGGAATCCTATGAAAGTTTTCCCATCCTAAATTACTGAACTCACATAGTGGATGAAAGAGAATGCAAGTGTTGCATATTCATTATTTTTAATCCATCTTCTTTCTTTTCCTAGTTGGGTAATGATAAGAACTGAGTGATAAAATACTATGCTAAACTAGAATGTCTGGAAAAACTGTATGGACCAATGATGCCGGGTTGAAAATAGAAGTTCTACTATTTCTTAATCCAGATTTTGTGCACTATACCTCCCTCTCCAAATGCACCCTGTCCCCTTCTTTTAATCCCACCCTTTTTATTTTCCTGTAAAGGGCTTTTTTTTTTTTATGATATCCACCTAATGTCTCTCTCTTCAGCCACAGGATGTCATTAGCTGCTACCCAACACTAAATCCACCCTTTTATCCCCAGACCAAATGGTCCAAGGAGTCTACAAACTCACCTGGAACTAGTTATGGACATTCTGCTACATCTCAGCTCACCTGAGTGGGTTTGCGTCAGCTCTACTATTGTTAGCAAGGTTCATATGGAACCCACAAGTCCTAAAGAGGAAATGAAAATGCAAGAGATGTGTGAGACTCAGTGAGAAGATCTAATGTTTGTATAATTTAAATTTCAGAAAGGGGGAAGAGAGAGGATGAGGTAGAAAGAATATCTATAGACATAACAGTAAGGAAGCACTCCCAAATGCAGGCAAATTCATATCACATTAAAAAAGCTAAAAATGCAAGAGAGGAAAGCAAAGGATTAGGGAGATAACAATCAGGACTGGTCTCTATGAGGGAATATTCCCTTTCCTCAGAGTGCTGGGGCTTGACAGCATGTGCCTAGCAGGACTGCACGATTGTTACGGGTCAGCGACTGCTGTGTGCCTCTTTTCCATGTATGAGCTGCTGGTTGAAGTTATACTTCCCTCTCTCACCAGTGTATGTTGGGAGTGTGGGGCAAAAATAACTAATTTATTTCACAGGTATATATTGTTTAAGAGGGGCCGATCCCAAAGAGCTGCCCTTGAGAAATTTCACGTGTGAAACCTCATTTGCACTAGGGCTGCATATAGATTAATAGGTCCTAGAGTTTGAGCTTACTGCAGTGATCAGATGAGATCTGGGGACCTTGTGAAGGGGCGAGTTTATTTTGCATGTAGGAGAGATGTGAATGCATAGAGCCAAAAGAAGGACTAGAATAGATTTTTACAATAATGACCCCACATGAATCAAAGCTCCCACTATCCAGGCACTTATATATACTCCCCTCTCAGTTGTCTCTGAGATTGGCTGAATGACTTCTGGCCAATGGGATATCAGCAAACATGGTGCTAACAGAGGCCTAATAAGAGTTTATCCTTTGAAGTTTGCCCTCTTCCAATACTTCTCGATGGAGCCCTGGATAGAATACCACGTGGAGATATCAGCTCAGCAATTGCACCTGTCACAGCTGAGCCCATCCTCAGGTTACCTGCCAGCAGAACGCACTCACATAAATAAGCTCACACGAGACCCATAGGAGAATCATTCAGTCAGCCCACAGGATCTTAGAAATAATAAACTGTTGTGATTTAAGTCTTGAAGTTTTAGGGTGATTCATTAATTAGCAACATATAACTGAAGTAATGTGCTATATTGAATAAAAATAGTTCACTCAAAAAATCTCTTAAGGAAAGGAGTTGTCATAGCTTTTCAGGAATATCTTTTTCAACTACATGTCTTAAGCAAAAGGTATCAGAAATCTACATTTATGGCTGGAATTTCATAGTTGTACAAAACTCTCTTAAACTATGTCAGTTTTGTAGATTTCAGAGATCTTGCCTTTTGATGGCTGATAACTTTATCTACTCTAAGAAATATGAATTATCACTTAACATGGAAAAAAAAACCTCCCAGAAAATGCTTTATTGCCACCTCAGTTGTTTAGCCCCTGTTTGCCACCCCTGAACCCTCTGCCTGCAGTCACTGATATGATCCCTCAGGATGGGGTTAGAGGATAACAATCAAAACTGGTTAGATTCATGAACATATCTGCGAAAAGTGGATGGGTTCTCTTTAATAAATTATTGAATTACATTTTTGGAGAGCTAAAATATTATGGTACCAAACCAATAGCACAATGCTGATCCAGAGTCATGGTCCATGAACAGCTAAGATCAACTGAAGGCTATTTACAGCATTTTTTCCAGTTTATCTTATGGATTTTCTTTTTAAATAAATACAGGTCAGATTGTTTAACTTAGGCTTCTTAGATTTTAATGCTCTGCTTTCTCAGGGCTAGTAACAGAAAACGTAATAAGAACAGTCCTGTGACAAATGTAAATCCAACCTTAAATGATATATGGTATTGAATATTATTAACTCTTTTTATTGTATTTTAAAACAATGTGAGTAAGTGTTAAGTGAATTCAATGTACACTATTGCTCTAGTCAATGGAAAGGTAAGAATTTCTTTTTATTAAAATGTATGTTCATTTTCTCTGAGAAGAAATTATCTTTAAAATTAATTGGCCTGAGAAAAACTTCTGGTTTCACCTCTAACCTGTAAACAGTTTGGAGGTCAATATTTCTGACCTCAGGCACAAAAGTTTGGACAACTGAAAATGAATGCCTTTCTTGGACTCATCAGAGAATTGAAGTGGCAGGGCAAATAATCTATTTTGAACATGAAGACTTGAGCTCTGAGTGGTGTGACTCAGTGGTTA